TAACTAGTAATGTAACTAAGTTACTATTTTAAAGTAACTTACCCAACACTGACCATACCTGGAAGACATACTGCTGTGTCTTCTGCTGTTCAGCTCTGGGAGTCAAAAGTGATGCAGTCAAAAGCAATGGAAGGCTTAAGGAAAAACACCAACCCATCCAACTTTGTGCTCCAGCTTCCTGCCAGCTACACTCAGAGTGATCAAGAGCTCACCGGTAAGCTTAAATTGCTCACCAACAAAAGAAGCACCTTCACTCTTCTTGTAATTAATACAGCTGCAAGCTTTGTACCTTGAATATTACAGGTAGGGGGGATCTTAAATGAAGACAAAGCACAATAAATTTAATTTGAATGGCTTTTTGTCTAATATGTACACAGTAGCCACTCACTTTTTTTTGGTAATATTTCTTTCAGCCTCAGTTGTCATCCCCGGAAATCAGAATATCCGCAGCTTCCCGGTCAAGGCAAGTGTGATTGAGATTTACATCACCTCCATAACGTGTAATAATTATTTGCACGAGGGATGCACATGACTTGAAAGGCACTCAGAGAGGCAGTCCTCCAAGGTCTTATCTTGCACCATGAAAGAAGGTAATCATACTGGGACCAATATTTAGCTTGTTCTTCCGCTGCCTATCTCCACCTTTTATAACATGATTCTGCAGACGCACCCTAAAATATTTTTAGTTTGACAGCCTCTGAATATAGTTTTCTCATTTGGATGACATGTTTGGTGTTTCATAGTAAAGTTCTATTAATGTAATGTATCTAAATTGTAATGATTGAATTGTTATTTTTCTTAAGCTGAATTCTTTGATTTTATGTCTAAATTTGAAAACCAAAAAAACCCCTCCTCATTAGTTATCACAGTTCCTCTTTTCGAGTATTGAAATGATTTCCACTCCACTGACAAATTCTCAGAAAAGTCCAAGGAACTCGGTAAAGATCTAAAAAAGAACTGTAGATTTACACAAGATGGGGAAAGTCTGAAGGTCTCCTGGAGCTGTTTCTCAACAACCTCAGATTCCAAGGTCATCAGTTCAAACAATTGTACGCAAATACAAGTTACCTGGATGCATCACCACTTTTCCAAGGCCTGAAAGAAGACCCAAACTGTCACAGTCAGATAGGAAAAACTCCTAAGAACTCCATGCGAGCTGTCAAGCGTGGTGGTGGTGGTATCATGCTCTGGGACTGTTTTGCTGGACCCTGTGTGCTACCCTGCTGTTCAATCATCTAACCTGAAAAAAGAGCAGTTCATAGAAATCACTGAAAGCCCTGAATTACCATATTTATGCCCATGATGAGTGTTGGTAAACTTTTGACCACAACTGCAGGTGGTTTTATAATGAGGCAAACCTCAGTATTCGTTAGTTACTTCAAGAGATAAGACTCACAGTGTATAATTATTAAGTCTATATTTTGTGATTGTACAAAAGCTGCTATTTAATATACTTTGTATTTTCCTCACAACATAATGTTTTATTTCAGAACAATTCAGAGACACTTGCTACCTTTTCCCTCCCTGCTGGATTGGCTTACCCTGTGCAGATACCAGCAGGAGTCACTCTACAAACAGCCTCTGGTATGGAATGACTTTACAGCTTAAATCAGTTTTTATTTCCAGCCTGGCCAGGCTTCTCAAAATAACATTTCACTCTTTTGTATCACCTCACTAAGGTCAACTTTACAAGGTCAATGTTCCTGTTGTGGTTACGCAGGCCCCAGTGGGTCAGCAGCCTGCCACCCAAGCCATGCAGAAAGTCACTGAATGGAGGGAGGCTTCTGTCCCCCAGCCCACTGCAATCCCACCAAATCCTATTGCTCCCCACGAGGTAGAAACATCCTCTGTTCCAGCTCAGTCTGTCACACAGCCAAAGACCATTTTACCCTCCGGTAAGGAGGGCAGCCTTCCCCTGCAGTCTACAGAGCCAGATTTCCCACAGGAAGAAAACGAGCCAAATCCACAACCTACCCTCAGCACGACCGCCTCACCTTGCACTCAGTTATTAGACTACCAGATCAGAAGAGAGGAGGCTCTGGCACAGATGGCTCAGAGCAGAGACATTGATGACATCCTGAAAGAAGTTATTGAGGAGGAGAGAGAAAAAGCAGAAAGGGCAAAGAAGCTAGCTCCTGTGGAGTCTGACAGCCAGTCTGAAGCAACTCTTGGGGTAATTTGGAAAGAATTCTCAGTCTAATATAGCAAATATCACCATAAGGCATAGAAAAGATCAGGTCATTGAAGTGTGGATGTGTATTGTCTAAAGAGTAGTTCTACATTTTGGGAAATGCACTCATCACTCTGTATGCTGGATAAGGCATATAGGCTTGAAGTAAAGACTACAGCTGCAGTTTTATGCTGATTTTATGTAACATTTAATGGGCTGGCACAAAGTACTGCCACATTAAATCAAAAAGGGGGGGATGTGTACAAAATATCAGACTCTTAGGAGCACTTTAAGTGATTTAATAAAGTGGTGAAAAGTTTATAAGATATAGCTGTTTGTAAGCTGGAGAGGGTTGTAACAGTTTTACTATTTGGGATGCTTGACCCACAAGAGAGACTCAAATGTTTTTCTGATAGATCTGATCAATATTTTGAACTTTTAAAAGACAGATTTTGGAGTGCCATTTTCTTTAATTTGAAATAATGGTTTACCTTGTATTTTAACATCTGGATTCAGGTAGCATCAAGTTTATCAGCCTCTCCCCAAAGCTTCTAAATCATCAATGTAGTCTGCATTCAAATCTGAAATTCCTTAGCGGTACAAAACGGATTGCTGTGCTGTCAATTTGAGACATTTTATGTTTCTGATATTAAATTACTGAAGCAATAGTCATTTTATTAGGACAGTTGCTCCCTTTTATAAGTTTGGTTTCTCTGAATTCATAACTGTGATGTTTCTTCTTGCAATTCATGCTCAGTTGGATCTGGACTGCAGCTACAGCCAGTTCTCAGACATCGTTCAGCTCGATGGTCCTGCAGGCAACTCTGACCTCGAGGAGGAAGAGGAGGTTCCCCTGGAAGAGAATGACTTTCTGGGTATAATCAATGCAGAGGCCATGAAGGCCCTGCAGGAAGGAAATGAAAGCAGTGATGGCAACAGCATCTCCTCCAGCAGCGACGGTGAAGGTGCAGATGAACTCGCTAACATAGAGGAGGAGGTGAGAGAGTGAGTTTGAAATGCATTTTCATGAGTCATGGCTTATTTCTTTCCATTAAAAGAAAACTTTCTTTGGAGAGCTCCAGTAGATTCGTGCATTTCTCCCTAAAATTACATTTTTCAGTTATATTTTTGCAGGTGGTTTTCCGAAGAGCATATCTTGATTGCATAACTTAACTATTTGTTTCCTCCATTGCGCACTCTGTTGATTAGGACCCTCTGAATTCAGGGGACGATGTGATTGAGCAAGACATCCCGGACCTTTTTGACACTGACAATGTCATTGTTTGCCAGTATGACAAAGTAAGAACTGCTTTCTTTTTTTATTAGCCATTATTTTCACCTCATCAAAGCCCAGTGCTAAATTCTAACTGAATATTGTACTCACTGCTTTTACATTTGCAGATTCACCGCAGTAAGAACCGTTGGAAGTTTCACCTGAAGGACGGAGTGATGTGCTATGGCGGCAGGGACTACGTGTTTTCGAAAGCAGTTGGGGAAGCAGAGTGGTAATGAACCTTAGTCCCCCTGAACAGATCAGGGAAAGAGAAACTATCATTTAAAAATGAATTTAAAATTCTTAGTTGTAGTAATGTGGCTCACAGAGCAGTTTGTGACTACTGTGCCAGATTGGTGATAATCATCAGAGCAACGCTACAAGTCACTTATATCATCCAGTTGTATAAAGCATTCCTTATAAATACTGTTTACTGAGTCAAACAGCATGGATTTATGTTGTATTGCACTTTGTGAAAATATTCTTTACAAGCAGAGTAAACCTTTTATTTGACCTCCAATGATTGTTTGAGGATAACAAACGTGCTGTTTGATTTTCAAACATTGTCACGTCTCTTTAATTATGCTCCAAATATACTGACCTGTACTGTTGTGCTGCGTTTAACGAGCCCTCTTCTTTCTGTGAAAACCACTTCAAAGCCTGTGACACATTTTTTTATTATTATTAGTATTTTTAAGCAGTTGTATTTTCTTTTTAAATTGACAACAGATTATGTACAACAAGATGAGGAAACAGAATTTTGGAAGACTGTTTTTTTTTTTGTTTTTGTTTTTTGTTTTGTTTTGTTTTTTTTTTTTCAGACTCTGAAAAGATTGCTCATAGGCATATATTACAAAGCCCATACTCTTACAATCTAACATGAAGTGGTTAAAATTCACAGTAGTGGTTAAAAAAATGACAAGTCCAGTATTTATTTATTTTCTTTCTTTCTTTTTAAATCATGTAAAATATCAGAAAGAAATACAAAGTGGAAAAAATATACAGGAAAGTTAACAAAAACACATTTGTGTACCATTGATTTTGTTTCAGTCATAAAAGCCAGATTAAGAAACACATTCAAGTTTTTTAAAACATGAACAGGAAAGGTGATCTGACATTTAATATTCTTGACTAGTAGGCATAACAGTTGTTGCTAAATCAAGAAAAAATGAAAAAGATAAAAAAAACAAAAAAAACCACACATTTTTCACATGATTTAAATGATTGTAAAATAATTTTACGTATTAAATATAAGTACCATTTATTTGGTCTTGGCTCTTGATTCAACTGAGTTGCTCCTGCATGTGTGTAGTCTTTTAACTTTCCAATCTAAATCTGTCTTGAGTACAACAAACCAAAAGGTGGCACCAAAACTCATCTCTGACAAAATCAGTCTTCATTTAATTACTTTCTAATAACTTGAAACCTCAGTCTTATAGAAAGCAAACAATAAATATTTTTCATTTTTAATATAATTAAATATAGAGTAGCTTTGCAAATAAATTAGCTTATTTTGCCATCAGTGCTCCATCTGTCTTCTTTAATGTACCATAATACATCTGCAGAAATGAAGGCTGCAGCGCCTGTTATGTTTGTCTGATGCAGTTTTTAGTTTGCAAACTAAACACGATCAAATTTGATCTGACGCTTGCCATGCACACAACTGACAATCTTTTCATGAGATCTACATTATGAAGAAATGCTACATTTTTAGTAAGGCGGCAGATGTTGCCTTTCAGTGCATTACGCAGTTGTGTTTGTGGTTGGTCATGTGGTTCCCTTATTTAGAAAGCAGCCCTTCATCTTGATGTGATAGGCATAAAAGCCGAGTGAGTGAGGTTCTCTTTTGGACATTTTCTGGGTACAAGTCAGGTGTGAACCCAGAGTCTGTGACCTGTAGAAGTCAGCGTGGGAATTGCAGCAGCCACAGCGACTCAGCAGCAGACACACGTCTTTCCTGAAAGCTTGTGTGAAGATGGTGTACAAGAAAGGATTGCAGAGGGAGTTGATAGGATAGAAGAGAATGAGCAGGATTTTCGAGTGAGACACGGTTATGAGGGGCATATGCAGGGCTGCAGAGATAGCGAAGAAAGAGATCGGTGCCATGCAGAGAAAGTCTGTGAAAATGAGCACAGCCATGCGCTTGGCAATCTTGGTGTCTCCACGCTGGGTGGAGTGCTCTGGGTTGTGAACACTGAGATATATGCATATGTAACAGTAACAAACCACCAGGAAAGCAACAACATTGAGAATGAGCACAGCCACCACATAAACCTGAGCGCTGAGTGTGTCGATATCCATGGGCAGACAGATGCTCACTTTGCTGTAACTACTGACCCCCACAAGAGGGAGCAGGGCAACCAGCAGAGAGAAAGCCCAGCCTCCTACCATTATGGCTGTGACATGATGCATGCGCAGCCTCTTGTTGACATGCATGGCATTGGTAATGGTATGCCAGCGTTCAAGACTAATCACAGTCAACGTGTATACCGATAGCTCGCTGGCAAACACAGTCAGAAACCCTGCTATGCCACATCCAGGACCGGTCTGCCAGTCTGTGGCATGATTGTAGTACTCATGACGGGAATGGTAGTCCATGAAGGCAATTAGGATGAGATAAAGCCCCATGCACAGGTCGGCGAAGGCCAGATTACACATGAGGAATCTGGAGACTGTGAGCTTATGGTGGCCAATTAGCAGGATGACCAAAACAGCCAGGTTACCGGCCACAGCGAAAACCGTAATGATCCAGGTGAGACAGCGCAGGAAGGAAAAGCCCAGTAGGTCCTCGCAAGGATTAAAAGCATCTGGCTTTGGGGAGCATTTGACAAAAGGTTTGCTAAGACAGTCAAATTCCAGGTCTGGATACTGAAAGTTGATGTCATTGATAAGACTCGTGTCATCAGCAGTCGGATCTCTGAAGAATACACATGTTAAAATTAGCATCAAAATCCTAGAATAACAGACATAAATGTGCTTAGACAGTACGTGTGGTACAGTTGGGATCAGAAGTTTACATACACTCATCGTGGGTGTGAATATCATGGTAATTTTGCCAGAGTGGAATGATTGAACAGCATACATCTTTAATGACAGGATTTTTCTCTAATCCACCCAGAGTATATACATACACCCGAAATAATAGCTGTCTGTCTTTTAAGCATAGTCCACATATTTTCAATAGGGCTGTGGTCAGGGCTTTGGGAATGCCATTTCAGAAATGTATCGTTAGCCTATTTTATCCATTCAAAAACCTGTTTTGATGTGCGTTTGGGATTGTTGTCCTGTTGGGATACCCAATTCTATCCATGTTTCAACCATATAGCCGTTTGAAGGGATGCTGAATGGCTCCAACGTGTGATGCTACCATCACCATGTTTGACAGTTACTGCGGTGTTCTTAGGTTTGAAACCTTCACCTTTAGTACTCCAAACATACATCTTGTCATTGTGGACAGATAGTCCCATCTGATTACAAACCTGTCTAGAAGGCATTTGGCTACAAATTTCAGCCAACCTTGAAAGTGCTAATTTTTTTCTTGTTCGACACACTCTGTGTTTGTGGTGATTTGAAACTTGCTTGATTGTGGAGAGCGACACTGGTGTTCCAGTGTTTTTCCACTGTTTCCGGAGTTTCAAGTTCATGGTCGGCCTGAGCCTTGTTGGTTTCTGAGTTGTTCCTGAACATCCTAATGCATTTCCTTTCATTTGAGGGTGACATTTTGGATTTTCTTCCAGACTTTGGCAAAACGGTGACACATCTGAATAACTTGTATTTACGTACAATAGTTTGAACTCATGAACTTAGAACAAAGGGAAATTCTTAGGATATTCCCTTTTGTTCTCAGTATTGGTCATTCTGTTGAGTGCTGTCAAATTATTTTTATGCTGGCAAAGAAAAATGACCAGTTGGAGTCGATCATGATTATTAACAATAAGTTAATTAGCCTCGTCAGGTTAAAAGACATTGTAAAACAATCGGCAACACTTGTTTAAAGATTTAGGTGGGAGTATTTATGTATTGAGCCTGTGTATATATACTTTTGACCCTTTTAATTTATTTTGGATTTTCTCAAATGCTCAAACTTGTGCACCAAATTATTATTTTTAAGTCATTAAATATGTATGCTGTAGAATCATTTAACCTTGGAAAAGGAACAGTTGAAATAATTAAAAGTCCAAAACAACCATCATATTCTATTCTAAAAACAAAAAGAACAAAACAAAAAAACAAAATTTTGTTGTACAATGACAATAAAGGGCTATTCTATTTTATTCTATTCTATGCTGTATTCACCCATGATGAGTGCCTGTAAACCTCTGACCACCACTTGTATAATGGGGACATTTCTTGGAGAACAGAAGCAAGCTGTTGCTGTTGTTCTTCCCAGACTTGGACTGTTTTTAAAAAATAAAGCACACTGGCTTAATTGGGCTGCTGGCATATTAAGGGAGCATCTTCACATACAAAATGTGTAGCAACCAGTAAGATCAAGGTTTAAGACACAAAATAGAAAGTCCACAAGTGACTAGGGAAAAACTTACATTTCTGTATTCATCAGATCACAAAACTTTGTCAAGTTCTTTAAGGCACTTTCCCTAAAGAAGAGAAAGGAATAAAATGATTAAACTCCTCAAAATATCAACAAACTCAAGTGCAAATGATCCACCTACTGATGATCTGTATTCACTGGACAGAGCTTTCGACTGTTTATGCAGATGTGAATGGATTTGTTGAATCTCTGGGAGCATCTGTCGGTTACCTTTGTTTCCGCCGCCATGTGTGGAAGGCGCAGCAGTGGCTCGGGTACGTGAGCTCAGCTTCCAGCAGTTCAGCTAGACTTTCCAGTGGAGGGAGGCTCTTTAGAGCATAGGCATGGCTGGCTTTCAGAAATTTAACCTGCCTCAATCCATTAGGGGGGAGAGACCTCAGAGCCGTGGAGGAAACATCCCTGAAAGGCACACACGGAGAGAATGCAGACATACATTTCAACGATGATTAGTAAAACAACTATGATTAAAATTCATTGAACTACTAGCAGGCACTAGAAAAGCTTTCGTTTGTCTCATTGTCTTTCATGGGTCATTTAAACTCTGCCGAGGGCTACAAAGCAACTCGATCCAAGAGAAGCCGTTTGTTGATATAGACAGTGGAAGACATGCTTTCTGGCAAATTCAATGAATCATCCACAGGTGTTCACAGAGTTCTGGAGACTGTGGCAACAAAGCCCTAATTC